TAGGTATTTAAAATTGCGTATCTTTTCATAACTATCTTTATCTGTTGAAAAAAAAGCGAGATGAAAACAGTGAAATAATAAACACTATGTAAAACTTTTATTTAGAATCATATGAGTCTATGTAATTTCGCCAATTGTGAAGTTCGCCAATTGTATATTTGTCGTTGGCGAACTTCCTCACGAAATTCGCCAATTGGCGAATTACTAGTGGGACATTCGCCTATTTGGCGAATTACTAGTGGATGTTCGCCAATTGGCGAAAACTACAATTGGCGAAACCATGAATTGGCGATAAGATATTACCCCAATCATATATATGTAAATTAAATTTATCTCTCCGAAAAAAAGATTTGTTTAAATGATACAAACAGTTTATTTATTTATTTATTTATTTATTTATTTATTTATTTATTTATCTTTAAATCTGTGTACCTATCTAATTTTTGGAATAGCTTTTAAAAGATAAATATTGTTATTAAGTAAAATACAGTTACTTTCTTGCAAAATAAATTAAAATATAATCAATATTCTATCGAAATATGATGCTTTTTTAATCTGCTATGCAAAATAATTTAATATGAAATTAAAAAAGAAAAAATTCATTTGATGTTTACGATAAAACTTTTCAAGTCCTTATGTATGTACATTTCTATATAAATACATATATCTGATATACGATTACTGTACCATAAGACGGGCAACTTCTTCAGGTCAATATTTCTGAAACATCTAGACCGGGCTGATTTAACTACAACATGAATAAAAAAAGCGCTACTATAAAATAAAAATTGATGAAGACTAACATACCAATGACAACTGGTTTCAACTTTTCATTATTAGAAAAGAACTACTCCCTCTCTCTTGAGTGCATCAAGTATATGAAATAATTTCGAATGTTTCGAGTAAAATTCTTTTTAGAAATTCCTCAGAACAAATAATTTTTCTATATACTGGAAAGAATATTCTATAGAAATGAAATTTCTCTTATGTGACAGTGATAAGTATAAGGAGAAAGCTCAAGGGGGAAAAGCGGCTCCTGGCTCCTTGGATTCTCGCGGCTCCTCATGGATTCTGGCGGATTCTATGGATCCTAGTAGATTCTGGCGGATTCTGTGGATCCTAGTGGATTCTGGCGGATTCTGTGGATCCTACTGGATTCTACTGGATTCTACTGGATCCTGCTGAATTCCAATGGATTCCTATGGTCTTAGTGGATATTTGAAGATATCTGAAGATCAGTATCTACTCCTTATCGCTGTCGCTTGCTTTTTTTTAGTCGAAAATTATGGCTTATCCAGTTAGACAAAGCTGCTTTTTAAGGTTTTCTATTGTAGCTTCTTAGCATGATATTTGTCTTCGCAACATAAAGTTTCGTAATCATTAACATCCTGTAAAAGGTTATCCAACAACTCTTTTAGCTGTCAAGGGAAAGGTTAAAAATATAACTTGTAAATCACATGAAAACATGAATTTTGAATCTTTTTTCATTAGAATATGGGATAGAGTGATGAATTTATTAACTATGTAGTAAGTAGCAATAATCCATGTATTTTTTCACTTTTTGCAATAGCTAGCACTCCCTACTATATTTGAAACAAAACTTGTTCATAGCTGTCAGTTCATATATTTGAACCGATCGTTGTAAACCCAGTCATATTTATGTACTTGTTAGAACTTTGCAATTTAACATGATGAATTAATCAATACACAGACAAAGTCACCGGTAGAAACAAAATAATATTATTTTTCCAACAATATTGTCTATATTACAAAAAGGCTAAATATCTTTTTCAGGACTATTGTAACACATTCTCAGTCATAGAATAATATGAACAATGAATTCTTCAGCTCTTCTCTTTCTGTGTACAATAAAATCTGTAAGTTTTTTTCTAAGCATCTAGATTCAAGAAACGATAGATAGACCTTTTAGATCTGTAAACAAAATGCATGGTCACTTTCGTAATTTTTTCAAAACTCGATCAAAGTCATATAGATCCGACATATATGAGTCTCGTTGTTTTCTTTAGCGACTGAAAATTGTTTAAAATATTGATATAAATTCACTAATCAAAATGGATTCTGGTGGATTCTGGTGGAATCTACGGCTCCTGGTGGATTCTAGAATCCATCAGGAGCCACCAGGAGCCGCTTTTTCCCCCTTGAGAAAACTCGATAAAAATGAATGAAAAATTTATATTAAAAGAGTATTACACTCTAGTAATTATGTGATCAATCATACATATAGCATATAGTTCGCTCTGTCTGTTAAACTTAAATAATTATTGTAACGAAATATTTAGTGGGTTATTATTCTTTGGTTCTGGGTGAATTGATAAATGAAAATATAACGTTACGGGTTTTGATGATATTTATTTTAATAATAATTTGACATAAAATTGATAAATGATTACAACACGCACAATAATAATACTCCTACTTAATATTTCTAGCTAACTAACTCTTTTCCTTACTATCTATATCACTGCCTCTTGATACTACTCCAAAATTATCGGGTTGGTGAAAGTTAAGCACGGGAAAGTTCAGCACTAGGAAATATCAGCACGAGCATAATTCAGCACATACATATTCAGTATGCGTAATAATAATTTTTAATAAAAATGAGTAAATTTTTTGATTAAAAAATTTTCACGGGAAAATATGGATTCCTAATTTTGTATTAAATTTGATCATTATAAATTATCAAGAATTATGAATAATAAATTATTTTAGGTTCTTATCAATATAATTCATAATGATAAATATTTATTTCTTAAAACTAACAATACAATAATTATGATAATTAATGATGTATTGATGAATATTGCTCAGCAGAAACATTTAATTAGTGATTATTAATTGAATTTCGAAGCAACCACATGAAGGGCTATGCCGCATTGTATCTTTTTTAAAAGATTATGAGTTGAACGGATCATGAGTAAATAACTAAGAGTGTTGATGATAACTAATTATTGATTTATTATGATTAAAAATAATAATTATTATTAGAAATTACTGTGACATATGCTGTGTTTGTGCTGAAGTAGTTTCGTGCTGATCTTTCCTAGTGCTGAACTTTCTCGTGCTGAATTTTCCGTGCTTAAGCTTTCGTGGTTAACATTCCCGTGCTTAACTACCCGGCTTCCCAATTTTCCGAGAAAGGAAAGTATGAGCCCTAAGAAGAATAACTTGAGTCATTTCATTGATTGACACGACCCCTGAACTTAGATAACTGTTTCTTGTCATACTTGACCGGATTACGTATTGATAGTAATCCTTTTCTATTATGACTCAATCGTTCCTTAATATTTATGTGAACTCTATATGAGTATATAGATTATTGCTACAATTATATGTATTGAAACATATAATTACATTGTTTTGTTTTGTTAACACAAGCAGACATTAAAAAGCGTACAACTTTTTTATGTCCTCAGCAAGAATTGGATATCTATTTTTTTCTTTTGTGAAAACTATTCAGCTGAATTATATAACATGCGGTGCAAAAGAAATGGAAATAATGTCGAGGTGAATTTCGTGTAGACGGACACATGGTAGAATGAAAATTTGGTTATCGGCTGATAGCCCGTGCTCTTCTCTTTCGAACGAGATGCTACTGCCCACTCATTCAAAAAATGACACGAGACGAAAGAGAAGCTCTATCGCAACGTATTTGCAACTTCTATATTAATTCTTCAAATAATTCTGTAAAAACTACGGTAAAATATTTCGAAAAACAAAATATTCCGCAATAAACGATTTACAATATATTATGGAAGTATCGTTAACATGGAACCATGAAATATCTGCCAAAGAGTGGTCGACCCTACAAGATTTCAGATGAACAATTGAATGGTCTTGTTAAATCTGTGAATAATCGGTGTGTTCTCAGTCAACGAAAGTTAGGACGACGGTTTTGGGTACATCATTCAACTATTTCACGTACCTTGAGAAAAAGAACATCGGTCGTTATTAGAAAGCGTCGAAAAGCTCCGAAAATGAACAGCAAAGACCAAGAAAATCGAGCAAGAAAAGATTGTGGAAAAATGTATCGTAAATTGTTAAGTGGTTGTGATGTAATTTTGGATGATGAAAAATACTTCAAATTAAGCGGCAACAATGTTGGTGGCAATGTTTTTTTATTCGACTAATCCAGTTACGAGTCCTCCAAACATTAAATTTCAAAAGAGAAAAATATTTGAACCAAAATTAATGATTTGGATGGCTATGTCCTCGAAAGGGGTTTCTGATGTGTACATCCACAGAAGTAAGCAAGCTGTTCTTCAAACCACCTATTTGAAAGAATGTATTAACAAAGGACTACTTCCTTTTATCGAAAAGTATCATCATAATGGAAGCTATCTCTTCTGGCCAGATTTGGCGAGTGCTCATTGTTCAAATCTTGTAAAAGAACGTTTGCACGAGAAAAACGTACCATTGGTTGCTCGTCAGGATAATCCTCCAAACGTTCCTCAGGCTCGTTCAATTGAAACAGTTTGGGCTTTACTCGAACGAAAAGTATATGAAAATAATTGGGAAGCAAAAAATTTGCATACCAGTCACGATATCCATTCAAGTGGATATCTAAAATGAATACTAAAATGAATACCCATGTTCCTCATAGCTGAGGAATTTGAGTGCATTTGGTGTAACGAGAATGGGTANTTCTCGTTACACCAAATGCACTCAAATTCCTCAGCTCTGAGGATACGTAGATGTCCATCCAACTGGGTATCCTATCTGGGTATTCATCTCGATACCCAAGTTGTGGATATTATGACATCCCTCCGTTAATGTAATATTTATTTTTCACCAAGGGAAATAATTGAATTTACAGAATGTCTTGAACAAAGCCAGAAGTATCAAATTATTTAATACTCAAAAAGGAAATTGTTTTCTTTTAAAGATAATGTCCGATCGTAGTTTGGAAGTATAACAAAAATAACTTACTTAATAATATCTAATTTAATTACAATGTGAATACATTTGATGAATTATTATTTTACGAACATCTTAAACTTGAGTATCCTAATCCAATATGTGATTTTTGTGGAGAAAAATTCAATTCAATTCAATGATAGGACATGATCAGTACAAACAAAAATGCCTGTACTTTGTTTACTGAAAGAATTCGTCGAATAAAAAAAACAGAGAAGTTGTATAAGTCGAATGTATCTTATGCGACTACCAAAAAAACAACGACTGTTATGGAAAAATATGATATTTTAATAGGATGAAATAGTTGTTCGTTAAAATTTTAAAAATATATTTTGTTCGATTATCATTCTTATAACTAGAGGTGTAAGCCGTCAGCTGAGAAACACGTCGGCTCTAGCAAAAACACCGATCGTCAGCCGTCGGCTTCAGCAAAAATCGGCTGACGGCTTACACTTCTACTTATAACAATTATTAGATCAACTTGAATCAGCGAACCTGTTTAAGTTTTTCAAACGCAATTCCCAGCATATTATGTGAATGGTATTTATCAACAAACAATTGTTGTAATGATACGTTAATTAGAGTTCACGAGTGCAAGAAATTTATCAGACGATAAATATTCTTGTTGGTGAAATTCAAACATTAAGTAGAGAACATTCTTCATTACTTCATTTAAATCGAAGTATTGGTAAGTAATCATTTAACGTTTTCAATGTCAGTGGTATTGAGCTGAAAATTAGAAGAGAACAATTTTTTCCTCATTGACAAGATTCTTTCTCGTTTGTGTTCAAAGTAACAACTTGCTAATTCGCTGAGCATCACCATTTTGTGCCATATTTATTTTAGAATTTCTAGCATTGGAAATACGTAGAAATGGAAAATTCAAGATTACATCAAAACTACTTAATGGTGTTTAATCGTAGGAGAGACAATATCTTCATAATCTCACTCGATACTTTTTCTATGATGCACGAATTAAACTATAATCGTTTAACACATAATTTTGAGTAATAAACTGTAACTCTAATTTATCATAGAAAAATCACAGACACGAGCGTGTATTGTGAGAAGAGTTGGAAAGAACAGAAAAGACAAACAGCAATTTATTTTCCTCCATCTTTTTTCTCACTAGTTGGTTTCGAGATTTAAGCTCGCCTTTGCTTAAATGGGGATGTAAATGCTCGACGTACACATATGTGATCGTTCTTTTTTTTGTTTCAATCCGTAAAACAAATGATACAATCTTATGTTAGCCCGTCCACTACCAAGTCACAATCTTGGATTGTCAATGCTTATCCAACATTTATTGATTAAACAAGAAGCAGAACAAAAATCACAGTAAATTCAACTAATTATCATTAAATGTTATCATCAAGAATTTCCTACTATTTGATGCCTGTGGTATACTTGCAAGTATTTTCATATTTAATTGCTTCATGAAATTACCAATGCGAACGACTAGTTTTTTTCCTGAGAACTTGAATAAGAACTGAATAAAATCAATATGCCATCAAAACACAAAAAGATATACTCAGAATTAGAGAATCACATTTTAACAAACATGTTTATTAAAAGCTAGCTAGCTTTGCTTCTCTGCTTGCATAATAAGAGAAACAGACAATGGGGAAAATATCAATGTCTTTGAATTAGTATGACGATTAGTATAGTTCTAGGGTATTAATGAGCAAATCTGAAACTATTTCATAGTTTAAAAAGCTAGATGTATCATTTTCATGGTTGTATTTCAACTCAGAGCTGGAACCGGTAAGAAATCCATAAACCGGTCCTGTCCGGCCGGTTAAAAAACTTTACCGGTCCGGTCCGGCCGGACATAAATTAGTCTCGAACCGGTGAAATTCCGGCAAATCGGAGAACAACTGATGGAGTTAATTCCTTGAAAATTGTTTCAGATAGCCAAAATACGGTAAAAACTGATAGAGTGAGTTCCAGCAATGATATCAATTAGTTAATGGTTAAATAGGCCTATTCAAATCTTATGACTCAGCTCCTCACATTATAAATGCTGATAGCTGAATACTCTAAATTTTCTGATCAAGCTTCTAAGGAAAAATATTTGAAAATATACTTTAGAGAATTTATATTCTCGATGAAATATGATTAAAGCTACCAACAAATCTGTAGAAAATAAAAGATAGACGTTTCAAGTTCTATTATCAAGTCATCTTTTTACAACTATATATGATAAAAAATAACACTGTTAATAAAATAGACTGCATCGACCAACCAAATTGATCTGCTGCCGCACTTTCGTTGATTTCTCTTGTTACTGTGAAAGAAAATGAGATGTATTACTTGTGCTTATGATGACAATCAAATGTTCCTTCTGAACTACACAAAATTTTGCATCATCAACAGTTTCATAAGACTTTCTATGTATATATATATATATATATATATATATATTGATAGCACAATTTCATTATATCTAACTCATAGAAAAATTTGTAAAACATTTTTTTAACAAAAATAGAGCTAAATGAAGATAGTTATTTTAAAATTTCAACCGGTGATTTTCCGGTATTTACCGCCCCGGTTGACTTTCCGAACCGGTCCTGTCCGGTCCGGTATCGGTCCGGCCGGACCGGTTCCAGCCCTGTTTCAACTCCATTGATTTCACGCTATGAACAGAGATATATTTTATTTTTCAATTTAGATCACTTCAAACAAGTTTCATTCCTTTGTTTTTTTTTCTAAAATATACAATTATTTAAGTGACCAGAAACTTCGCGTAGCCAATGGTTTTAATCGAAGTATTTCATGTTGTTTAGCTTCATGAAGTTTTGTACTTTTAAGATCTGAGCAATATAAGCAGCGTTCGAATCAAATTCTGCTGAATCTTTCTATTAAAGTTTTCCTTATAGAAAAGAAAACTAAATATATTAATTTGAAAATGAAAGTATTGATCATTTCATAAACAGTAAGCAAGACGAAGATTTTTATCTGATTGTATTATCTATTTTCACGAAAACTTGACAACCGAGAAAAGCCTATAACACATTCAACATCCGTTGGCCTTGAAGTTAGATAGTGTTACCACTAGTATTTTGTCTCATTTTAACAGCAACGTTGTTTTCAACACTGATTTATTTTCTCATGTTCGTTCTATTCAGACAATTCACGTTTGCATGACATAGTAATATAAAAAGAAAGGACACCGATTCTATAATAAATTCGTTTCAAATTTACGAGAATGATACATTCAGAATCATGTGAAATAAGATCAATTGTATCTTAAATGTAAATTGTTTACCTTCATAAAGGTCAGCATCAATAAGTAAACTATTCGCTTTTTTATTTGAATGATTGGATATTAAATATATATTTACTTTTGGGTTAAGGAACTTATGAATTTAATCATCAACTGTTTAATCAACTAGTACAAATGATTTTTAGATCGGTTTCGACTTATATTGTAAATCACAGTCGGTTTAAATTGTTTACGATGAATCAAATGTAATTTTTACAGAAGGGATTAAGACAGTCATTGATTTAAACTAGTTTGAATTATGGTTAAATCAACGCCAAGTCTGACTGCATGGAATCGCCTAACTGAGAAATATGATACGCATTTTACTTTGCGCAAACCAAATTCGATGGGAGCAATCGGACAAGATTTGCATCAAATAGAGATCTTAATATTACTAAAACCGTTTCAACGAGCACTGGCCAAAATTCCGTTCTTGAGATCATCGCGTCACAAATAGAAGTTTTTACAGTAAATGACATAAGCTTCGATCTGGCCTCGGATTCGTCCTACATTTCCTATATTTAAAAAAAATTCAATTTATCTCCTATATTTCGATGAATTTTCCTGTACTATTTCCTATAAAAATGAAAAAAAGTAGAATATTGCTAAAAACCGCTCTTGTTTTAGTATAATTTTCGTGTTTTTTAAATAAATATATTCGACAATTATTGACTTTTTTGTATTCTTAGAATTTTTTACAGGGACTCTCTTTTATTTACAATTTTTTTTCACATTATCAAACGGACTAAATGAAAATAACTGACTATTTTAAGTAAAGATATTCAAACAAAGTAAAATAGTCTTTATAAATAGTTGTGTGTTTTTTAAAAGCTNCTACGAAAGTCAAAACAAAATAGGTCAGCTTGTAGAGACTGAAATTCTACAACTAACGATCTATCATTGATATTTTTTGAAATCATTTCTTGGTTAAAAAACTCAAAATGCGATTTTTGAAAATTTTCATACTCGGTGTGAGTGTAGGTTGATATGAGTATAAACACAACACAAACCATTATTCACACCCTGATTTATTTTGTACTAGTTTATTCATATGTAAATAAACATATTTCAGCTGAATTTAATTGTGTCTGAATCATTTAATTTAATATAAGAAAGAATTAAAATGAAATATTGACAAAAATTTCGTGCATATCTTAAGTTGATGCAGGAAAAGTTTAAAACAACGCTGGATTCGAATCTAAACATCGAATTTTGAAAATCCTATTTTTTTCTGATTTTTTACACCTTTTCCTGTATTTCTAAAACGTTTGATCCCGTGTTAATTCCTCCATTTTCAAAAACTTGCAATCCGAGGCCAGAAAAAGATTGATCTAGTAAAACTAGATGGTATTCGAGTTTCACTCGTATACGAAATGCGATGCGAAGCAAGGATCTGGATTTTCAACGAAAAATCATGAATTCGAAGAAATCTTAAATACTTTTTATGTAGCCATAATGGTATTCATCACTGAGAAAACTCTACTCTTACTAAGTGATAGATTCTTAAAGAACAATTTCGATGGATCGATTAATTATCTTCATGATTCATTATCTTAGATCCGCTGTGAATGAATAGACTATAGTGGCTAACATACGTTCATGACGTCACTTTAATTATCTCGAAACAAATTTCTTTCATTTTTGTCATTTTAGAACCAAATTTCTGAGTGAACGGAAGTTCAGATTGGAGATTCCAAAACAGGTGGAAGAAGTTCGATCTCGACACTTCTATCTTGCGGTTAAATGCGGTTTTATCATTTTTGGTTCTCGAGATCATCGTGTCGCAAAACGACGAAAACGATGCGTACGGTTTCAAGTAAAAAAGAAAAAGAAAAACTCGCGACGGACTACAAGAATGCTGTGTTTCACACCGCTTTAAAAACTGAGTCTTGCAAATGGTCATACAAAATAGGATGTAGTAGCATTGTAAAAATCATTTTTCAAATGTTTCTTTTGATAAAACAAATACAGAAAGGACAGTGCAAAATTTTCAATTTCAATCTTTCATTTGTCTCAAAATGTTTTCAACATGTTTACACAAATCTCTTATATGGACAACAAGCGTCTTGTTGATATGCATACAAATAATTAATTATGTATGAAGAGAAAGTTGTTTTCACCTAATAAATATTTACATGTCAGCCACAAATTGTATTTTTGCAAAAAGAAATTAGAATCAACCATCTCTATGCAACATTCTATCACGATGAACCTCAAATGTGTCGTTTGAATTGTTACTCTATCGAATAAATGCATAAACGACATAAAAGAAAAATTTTAACTTCATTTTGCTCAAATAAAAACCATAACTATTCGATGCCATTGTGAACGCCATCTTCTTCTTGCTGATGTTAGCAATACACGTCGGTGCTCGATTGGTTATTGAAGTTGATCAGTCGCATTTTAACAGAACATTAAGTGTTGGTCTTCACCTGTTAAACAAGCGTACATATTAAATGCAACCTCGACGAACAGAATTCATTCTTTCAGTTAATTAATCAATCATCACCTGCAACTTTTTCTTTTCTCAAGCAAAACGTTCTGCCATGTTCAAGTGGCTTCTACTGACTACGCTTTTTGGAGCGTTACTATTCATAAGTAAGATTGAATTTCTTTCATCGACAATATCGTTTATGATACTTTTTTTTATTCAGATACATGTAAAGCTGAAGATGAAACTGATACATCGATACCACCAAAAGTTGATGATGATATTGGAAAGCATACTGATGGATCAAAGACAGACGATGAAGTTGTTCAAAAGTAAGATTATCAAAGCAAAACTTTTTAAAAAGCATCTCATTTTGTTTTTAATAGAGAAGAAGAAGCAATTAAATTAGATGGTTTAAGTCCAAAAGAATTTCGAACACTAGTCGATGCATCGGAAAAACATCAATTTCAAACTGAAGTTAATCGTATGATGAAATTGATTATTAATTCATTATACAAAAATAAAGAAATCTTCTTACGTGAACTCATATCAAATGCATCCGATGCGCTTGATAAAATACGTTTTCTTTCACTTACTGACAGAAGTGTACTTGGTGATAAAGAAGAATTAACAATACGTATTAAAATCGATAAAGAAAATCGCATGTTACATATAACCGATACTGGTATTGGTATGACAAAAGCTGATCTCATTCAGTTTCTTGGTACAATTGCTAAATCGCATACATCAGAATTTTTCAACAAATTTCAAGAAGCACAACAAGATGGCGTGTCAATGAGTGATCTTATCGGACAATTTGGCGTTGGATTTTATTCAAGTTTTCTTGTCGCCGATAAAGTTATTGTTACATCAAAAAATAATGACGATGATCAATATATTTGGGAATCAGATTCGAGTTCATTTAATGTATTTAAAGATCCACGTGGTAATACACTTGGTCGTGGTACAACAGTCAGGTAAAATAGCAAAGAATTCATTTGTTTTTCTATCTTAATTTAATGTTGATTTTTATAGTCTTCGTATAAAAGAAGAAGCCGGCGAATATTTAGAAGCAATAACACTAGATGAAATTATTCGTAAATATTCACAATTTATTAATTTCAATATTTATTTATTGAAATCACAAACTGTTGCAGAACAAGTACCTGATAACGATGGTACGATCTTTTTTTAGTTTTTGATCGTTTGAAAATATTTCATTTCTAGCTGCTGCCGAAGAGCAAAAATCAACTGAATCTGATAAGAAAACAGATGATGATGCTGCTGTTGAAGATGACAAGGAAGAAGACAAGAAAAAGAAAACAAAAACTGTTGATAAAACTATTTGGGAATGGGAATTAATGAATGAAAACAAACCTATTTGGCAGCAAAAGTAAGTTTTTACAGATTATTTACTATTATTGAAGCAATCAAAGGAACATTTCTATACGTATATGTCATCGTGATATAGTTATTACTGGATTTAAGAAATAGCGTAAAGCTATGCTTTCAGTTTATTTAAATTCTCATGCTTTTTTCTTACTACAAAACGAGTATATTAAATCACGATTTCCACCCATGCTACATGTTTTGTTTTCTTTTACACTTCCGTTGAGATGCCAGTATAAGATTACGGATCTGAATACACATATAGTTTTACCAACGGTATTTTATCGGTCTCAAATCATGCGTATAGGAAATAGTTTCTTACGCACAATACTCTACTATCGATGATATAAACTAAGAATTCACACTGCAAGTAGTTGTCTTGTACATGAATAATTCATACCTGAAATTCATTTGTCTTTTACATATTTAATTAAAAGAATACAAGCCGTACTCTAATATTAGACTAGATGAAAAATTTCATTTTATTGTGAAAATAATATAATAATTACTATCAATACGTTAGAATTTGAGTTGGATCCAAAAATTTATGTTTATTAGCATAAAGTGTACGATCAAAATGACATATTCTCTTGAGACGTCAAAGTGTCTGAGTGGAAATTCTATCAAATTTTTTCATCGCTATTTCATCTAAAAATTTTCTATAGAAGAATTTACCGTTTGATTCTTTCAGAAGATCTCCATAAAAACTCTTTCCTATAAATAAACTAATGGTTATAGTATATAACGTTACATAGTTTTCTAATTAAAAGACTGTCTTAATCATCTTCTAGTTCATATAAAGAAGATTAGATTTACGAATACATTTCATATCAAATGCTTAGTGTTTTATAATACGAAAACGAATTTTTTATTTGTTTTAAGAACATCTGATGTCACTGAAGCCGAGTACCATGCATTTTACAAGTCATTTACAAAAGAAAGTGAAGATCCAATGATCTACAGTCATTTTACTGCCGAAGGTGAAGTTACATTCAAATCAATTCTGTATGTTCCAAAAGCTGCACCCTTTGATTTATTTTCAAAATATGATAAGAAAACTGATGCTATTAAACTCTATGTTCGTCGTGTATTTATTACTGATAATTTCGAAGAAATGATGCCAAAATATTTATCATTTATTCGCGGTGTTGTCGATAGTGATGATTTACCATTGAATGTTTCACGTGAAAACCTACAACAATCGAAATTATTAAAAGTTATCAAGAAGAAACTCGTACGTAAAGCATTAGATATGTTAAAGAAAATTTCTGCTGCAGATTATGAAACATTTTGGAAAGAATATGGTACGAATATTAAATTAGGTGTTATCGATGACTCAGCAAATCGTACACGTTTAGCTAAATTACTTCGTTTTATAAGTTCAATATCCGGTGAAAAGCAAGTCAGTCTCGCACAATATATTGAACGTATGAAACCAAAACAAGAAAATATTTACTTTATTGCTGCTACGTCTATTGATGAAGCGAAAAAATCTCCATTTGTTGAAAATATTTTGAAGAAAGGTTACGAAGTTCTCTATTTAATCGATCCTGTAGACCAATATTGTTTGCAATCATTACCTGAATATGAAGGAAAAAGATTTCAAAACGTTGCTAAAGAAGGTTTCGAATTAGATAAATCGGATGTCAAGAAAGAAGAGCAAAAGAAACATTTAGAGAAAACATATGAACCATTATTGGCATGGCTTAAAGATAAACTTAGTGACAAAATCAGTGATGCCAAAGTATCGGATCGTCTTGTTCAAACACCAATGGCACTTATTGCATCACAATGGGGTTATGATGGAAATATGGAACGTATAGCACGTGCACAAGCTTATCAAAAGAGTGGTGGAGATACAACAATGAATTATTATCTAAATCAAAAAAAAGCACTAGAAATCAATCCTTATCACCCATTAATTAAAGATTTACTTCGTCGCGTTGAAGAGTCAAAAGATGATACAACAGCTATTGATTTAGCTAATGTTATGGTTGAAGCAGCAACACTCAGGTCAGGTTATGATCTTCGAGATTCAGTCGGTTTTGCTGATCGTATTGAATCAATGTTACGTCGAGCTATGGGCATTTCATTGGATGAAAAAGTTGAAGAAGAACCAACGGATGAAGAAGACCAAGTGAAAGTCGATTTCAATGAAGATAAAAATGTTATCGACGGTGATGATGATGATGATGATACAAATGCAAAAACAGCGGTACGCGAATATTTTATTTTAATTTACAGTCAGTCGTATCTTCGTGTTTTTCTATTTTTAGAAGTCACATAAAAAACATGGTGATCTGTAAGAAATGATATTTTGAAAAGTAAACAATCAATATCGAACTGATCAAATGAATCTTTTTTTTTTGATTATTCTGAAACATTCCGTCAAATATAATTGTGCTTTTTCTCTCTCTCGACGCGCATTCCTTCCGCACTTTAGTTTATTGTATTTAAAACATGTGTGATATAGTCTAAGCTGTGATGCATTTTATTTTCTATTTTATTATCACGAATCTCACACAGAGTGACTTTCGTCTTTTAACTATTTGATGTTGTTGCTCTGTTTTTGTGCACTTAGCTATCGTTCGTTTACGATGATTTTTTTTCGAAAGCGTAGAAAAATAAAAACAAACTTTACATTATCAAATTTCAAACGTTTTTTCAAGAAATACAATTGAAATGTACATAGAAGTAAAAGTGAATCACGTATCAGATGAGTGACGACTGAAATTAGGATCGTTCTAGTCTTTCAATCAAGCAGGGCTATGTACGTCATTATCAAAAGTATGAATCGTAAGAGAATATCTTTACGTTATTAGATCATTCTCATCCTAGAACTTCAATTCAAATTAACTTCAGATTTTATGAGCAGTAGCTTCGCGTTTGATAACGTACACATTTTTTTTGAAGTGAACTTTTTTAAATGAAATGCATAGCTACGGGATTTGAGGATCATTCACGTTCGCGTGGGGAAGAAGTTGAAGATTTACTTAATTTATACATATTCGATGACAATGAAGAATTCTAATTAAGTTAATTGTGATCTCAAAGATGAAAGAAATGTCTCGTGATGATCAGGCGATCTATCGTAATTATTTCAAAACATGAAAAATTCCAAGTTTCCTTTATATGATTGAACAGCATATATTGCATGTAAACTCCATCTATCGGGTACTCGTTGCTGATTGGTTATAACTGTAAACCGATAGAAGATTCAAATCGGGGCCCCTCTCACAAAGATTTTTTTCTTTTTCTTCTTTTTCTTTTCCAATTTAGTTTTTATTCTTGTTCGAGGTTGATTCAGCGAAAAACAATTCATTGCGATATTTATTTTTTTTCACAGATAGTTTATTTCTCATTACTTCGTTAAATATGGCTTCATGTATGGCTATAAAACGTTCGTTTGAACATGACCGCGATTCTCCTAATAACAGTTCATATGAATCTCGAACATCTTCACCATCATCAAAACGTCGCCGTCGCTGTTATCCTATGACAGTTGTTTCATCGCCCACACCAATGACTAACGAAACAACAGAGCAAACAGTATTTCCTGATGTTGAACCAATTTTAACTACAGGTAAATGTAAAATAAAAAATCTCTTTTTCATTAACATTGATTGTATTTAGATGTTTTATTAAATCGAATTAAAGAAGAAGTTCGTCGTCTTCAACGACGTCATCAATTAAAAGTATCAACATCATCAGATTTAAATGAAGATGATAATTCAAATGAAAGTCGTTCATCATCAAATCATCAACATCTTCTAACACTCAAACAAGTTAATATGATATGTGCTCGAATATTAAAAGAACGTGAAGATAAAATTCGTGAAGAATACGATCGAATTTTATCAAATAAAATTAATGGTAAGCTTGGAATTTTCCAAAAAAAATATATTTTCTTCTATTGCTTTTTTTTACCTTTCTAGAACAATATGAAGGTTTCGTTCGATTTACGCAAGATCAGCTTACACGAAGATTTTCTGAATTGCAATTCTCTTGTAAGTTCATATTTAAAAAAAATGAGTTAAAATTTATATATATTTTTTCTAGACGTTTCTTGATCGTTTCGTTTCTGTTTTTTTTGTCTTTTTCATTTATATAAATATCTCTTGGTGCTGGTTTATAAACTTATCGATCCGTTTGTATACATTATGATTATGTTTTCTATATATCAAAAGCGTTTTTTTCTTCTCCGTCTGCTGCGTATTGTGTATTACTCTTTTGTATTCTTGTGTGTTATTTTTTTCCTCCTGTAAGGTGGTGCGATTATTTTGCGCAGATAGACAAAGAAATAATCAATAGTAATACACAAGCAGACATATACACTCTATCTCTCTTGTATTTTATGTTTAATAGTTTCGATCTTTTCCTTTGGTCTTCTATATTATATATATGGCAAGTGTTTTCTTCTATTACTTTTTGCGATTAAATAAACGTAGTTCAAAATGACTTCATTTTATTTGCTGCATAATACTGGCAGATAACTGATTTAAAATAGTATCATTCATTTTATGATTCGTGCAAACATGAACTCTAGTTTTATCATTTAAAATAATTATATAGAATTCAACGATCAATACAAGCAATGGTAGGTGTGCTCCTTCAAATGATAGTCGTCAATGCATTTAACAATAAGAGTATTATTTAGAAGTTATCGAAGGTGAATCAATCTTTTGAATCTGCTTGTAGCAAAAATATCAAACATATTTTTGTGATTATGCTTTATGTGTCATTGTTCTTCAAAATCACGGCATAACATTATGGAGTAAATAGTTGTTCTAGAATTCTTCAGAAGTATCTAGAACGAGCATAATTTTGTTCGGGTTCGAGTCTCCTTTTCACCTGCAACCTACGTTTTGCAAATGATAAATTTCGATTGAAATATCATAGGTTTCTATAAAATTAATTTCATGTAAATCACATACGAGTTATTTATATTTAAAATAAATTAACCTTATAATCTACTTCAATGCAATCATGTAATAATAATAGTTTGATATTTGAACCTTCTTTTTACAATAAAACTTATCGGTGCAAATAGAATCACTGCTTTGATGGCAACAAGATAGAATTATGCGAATCAAGCTACAATTGTGTTCTTCAAATTATCGAACTACAACTAACTTTTTCTAGAAAATAGACAAGTATTGTGAACATATGCCAGTTAATTGCTATAATTTACATGAATATTTTTGTTAAATTTTCAAAATATGATTGATACAATAATGAAAGATTCACTATTCCTTGTGTAATTAATAATTCTTATCGAGAGCCGAATGAAGAATCTTTCAAAGAGAGCTTTCACTAGGTACGATTGTACTCAGATGGGACAAGTATGCAAGCAAATGGTACTAGTATTTTTAGTCCAATAGCTGCCCTGGTATAGATGGAAAAAGTAATAAAGGAACAGATTGCAAAAAAGAAAATCGAGGCAACAATACTTTTAATAAATGTAAATGAAACTTAAACATATGATGGGTTGACGATTGATGTCAATAAGAACAAAGAACTGAGAAACGACAAGAAAGAAACACCATCACTAGTAAGTGTTCATCTGTCTCATACTGATTTCATCTATCCGAACAAGCGATAGCGCCGATGTATCCACCAGATATATACGCCCTGATTAGTAAGCTTTTGTGTTTCTTTCGAATATTATGCTTTTGGATTTATATACTATTTACACAGGATAAACAATTTTGACTTTCAAGAGAAGAAAAGTACGAAAAATCGTTTGTATATGTTGATGGGTTGATGTGCAGAGTAAAAGGGGACACAAATGGCAAAAAAACAATATCGTGGCTATATGAGAAAAAAAATCTATAAGTATTTCTCGAAGCTATGATACGTCGATTTTTCATACGCTTTCAAAATTATATGATACAAATTCTTTATCTAAACTAATATCAATTGAGTTGTACAGATACAATAAAATTTTTCTGATAAAACTTATTGTTATATTTACTCTCAATCGTGTCTACAATAGTTTATGAGATAAGCAGGACATTTCATTCATTCTTTTATGCGTCATAAAAATCGAAAAATAGAAGATCATCTATATACCCTGAGCAGTAAGCTAAATTTATATCGCTATTGTCGGTGATATTTAATGAGATTAAACTAGCAGAAAAAGAATACAAAAGAGTAACAATCATTTCTTACTGTTTTATTTTATTCGACGAAACGATACAATATGATAGCTAACTCTCAAGACAACATGGCTAACAAACGTAGGTGATCAGTAATTTATTATGATATCTTTGATGACTATCATCATTTTTTTTCCATGCGCACCAATTTGTTTTTTTTCATTGCCCATTGATAAATCGAAGCAGTTTGATTGATTTGCGTCCACAGTAGCATACATTTATACATATCAGTGAATCATTTTTTTCCTATATTCAATTGACTGTCAACACTCGGTAGACACTACTCCTGCTTTTCTCCGCAAAAAGAAAAACGATGCATGCATGTGAAAGAAAAAAGCAAGCCAATAACGAGAAACAGACAGGAGAATAAACCTTCGCCTATTTAAAGGTAATATTTCATAATCATAAAAGTGGCTTTACTTTTGCCTCCTATCGAATAGTCAAAAATGCAGCCAGGCGTTACTGATATTTATCATTGGGAGCTTCTAAAAACCTACGATAAAAATCTATATAGTAGTTACACACAAAAATAGGTAATAATCCAACCACTTTCCTGTGGATTATTTGTTTTTATATCCATTAACAAAATAGATGGAAATAAGCATATAATGGCGGCTAATACTCGTTATCGTAGAGCCTTTTCTCTTAATTTGTCGCCACAGAATGCCCGTTACCTTCATCATCAACGATCCAGTTTATCGGAAGCTGCATGGGAAAATGGTTAGTAAAAGCATGCATGCATCTTTGCACATAAGTAATTAACTATTAAACAAAAATTCTCGCTCCCATTGTATAGTATAAAGAAAGAAAAACGTTCGAATAAAGTTTAATAACACTTGCTTACATTATATAGAGCCTATTATTGCAACCATTAGTCCATTTGCATTGGCAATGAATAAAGTACAAGCCAATTCAAAAGTATCAAAAAAAATTTGGGATTCAGATAAAGCTCTTAGAAATACACACCAAGGACTGCTTGGTAAATACCAAATACGGGTTTATATATTTTTGGCATTGGGCTATGCTGTTATTGGAGCTTGGCTGATGGAAATGCCAGCATTTGCATGTGAGAATCATCGAATGACATCAACATCTATTTACTTGACATGTTATTTTTTCAAATGAAATATTTAGTGTTACCACCGAAATATATTGATTGTACGCCAGTTTATCCAAATAAATCAAATACAACTCTTCAAACATCTACACAACTGAATCAAATAATATCAAATGAAAACACTGCAAGTCTTGTTAACGATGGAAAAAGGGAAAAACTTAAACGAACATATAATTACAGCAAAGAATACGGACGAAGTGCACTCATTGACGTAAGAATTTTATTTTAGCGCTTTTAAACAAGAAATCACACAGAAAACTCTTCTTTCAATTAGATGTATGATGCACAGGTAGTAAAGTAATTGTTCAAGGGAAAGGGATAAATTAACCGGATTTTCTTTATTTCCATGTTCCTTTGAATATTGATTCTGAAATTTCAATAATGACTTTTTCTTTTCAGTTCGATACTTTATGTGATAAAACACGTGTGAAACTACCTTACATAGTAAATATAGTTGGCTTCAGTTTGGGTGCTCTTGTATTAGGTGCTATTGCCGATCATAGTGGAAGAAAAATGATTTTACTCGGTAAGTGTCTTTCTTTTTGTTGTCTTCAACTATTTCAAATTAATAAAATTTGTTCGTAGGTTCAATGTGGACAGCATGTATTTTATCAATATTTCAATTATTAAGTGAAGAATATATTTCCTACGTGTTTTTTATGTTTTTTCTTGGAGTACTTACTGGTGCTGTACATGTTATTGCCATACCAGTTGTGATGGAAATGGTAAACGATTAAGTTTTACTTGTAGAAAATTCTTTCAGATATTTCTTTAGTTTCCAATTAAAACACGAGCTATTTATAGTCTCGCTTTATTGGGTTTAGTATTTTTATTAGACTTGATTTTGCCATGGCTTGCATTGGGAATAAAAAATTGGAAAATTTTACAAGCAGTTATTTCTGTACCGTTGGTTTTAACAGCCTCGCTTAATTGGTATGTTATCAATAAGATAGAGCAGAAGATTCGAACGGATACGGTTGCTTTAAAACTGAATTAAATTATAGAAATCATTTCCGAAAATTCGATTTACTTTTTCAAGCTACTATGAATTTTGACGTACATGATAGATTTAAGTTTTCATTTTTTTTTCTCATGAATTTTTAATTAGAAATTGTTGGAAAATGCCTCGGCAAACATTTTTCAATTGGATGTATGTAGAAATCAAGTATTCAATGAGAGAAAACGTGACTTGTAAAGTTTTCTTAGAGTTCATTTTATTTGATAAAGATTTATTTGCTGTATTCGTTCAACTGATTTAAATCTATTACGATAGAAAACTATACGATCTCAAGATTTTCTATTGAACTATTCAGAAACTCTGTTCTCATGATGCAACACATTATCTTCATCTAAATCACAAAAAAAAGAACACAATTAGATATGAAATTCTCTACTTAAGTGATTATATTTTAAATGTTTTTAGCATTTTACAGGCGAAAAACATTTTGCAAAAAAAAATGAAACCTATTCGGTTTAGAAAGTGATTTATTTATATTGTCATTGCTGTTTTTGAGAAACGACTCACTGCAACAGTATTTCTACTTGTAAAAAGACGGAATCATAGAAAGATAAATAAAATCTTTTAACTTAGGTTTATGGAAGAATCAATGTTCTGGCATACAGCTCAAAAAGATTATGTTTCAGCTATATTATCCTTAACAAAAATAGCTCGATACAATAGTATAGTTTTTCAAGATGTATTTCTTGAAGCACGCGAATTTCTTCGTAGTAAGCGTTCACAAGGTACTCAATGCGATTTTCAACCATTACTCCGATTAGGTTTGTTATTAGTCAATTCGATAAATCGATTTTTTTTTCAGAAAAGAAAATATAATTCATTTTAGAGGATTTTAAAACATTGGGAAAAAAATATCCTTGTTTTGATGCAGCAGATTTGCAAACAGCATCAGGAAAAAACGGTACTATCTCCAAACGGATATTACATGCTCTTGCTGGTCGCCATTATTATTCTACATTATCAAAATTTTATCCGACAGATTTTATTCATTCACCTATATTTACTGTTTACTTAGTTGTTCTATGTGGTCTTTGGTTCGTATTTCTTTGTTTTATTGAACAAAAAGCTCTTTTTCTAGTTAATTAGTCCATTTTTCTTCTTAAAGGCTTGTCAGCTCTTTAACAGAGTATGGTCTTGATGCTCCACATATAACTCAACATTTAACAGATAGTTTTCATGCGAACTACTTTTATTCACATCTTATACAAATTATTTCGTTTATTATAGCATTTCCTTTGGTTTATATGTAATATAAATCCATTTGTTTTGTTTTTTTCGTACGTAACATAAAGTTTCATTGTTTAGATGGGGTCGTCGATGGCCAACATTTTGTTTTTTTCTTATCGCAGAAATTTCTCTACTTGGTTCTGTCGCTCTTAAAATCGGTAAAGAGGATTTTATTATAACTATTTCTTTTTTCATTAGTTTTTATTGAAATTAATATCAAGATAATGAACAAGCACGTGTGGGAATACTAATTGCTTACTTTGTTGGTAAATTTGCGACTCGTGCGGCATTTATTGTGCTCGTTATTTATACATGTGAAATAGCTCCGACAGGTTTAAGGTAAATATAATATTAAATATATTTATCCTATTTCTCTTTGTTTTGTATTGAAAGATGTACAGTACTTGGTATTTGTTATACATTTCGGTTGATTGGTATTGCACTTGCTTCTCCAGATGTGGTAAGATAAATGATTTGAATTTAGTTTTTGTCAATTAAAATATTAATGTAAGGGTGAACTAAACAATTGGATGCCTCGTCTTATCTATGGAGTTCTTTCATTAATTCTCGGTTCAATGGCACTTTTATTGCCGGAAACAAAAACAATACCATTACTAAGCACCATGCTACAAATAGAAAGCCTTCCAACACCCATAAGTAAAGGTTTTCGTCGTCGGCGTCATCGTTTAGAATTTATGCAGCACAACGCTCGACCAGATGAACCACGTCCAAGACGACAAAGTAATTTCAATGATACGGCTGCAATGTTACATGGCACACGCTCAGCTCGTCCATTTGATAATCAATCAACGATGCATAGTATTTTTGAATTACAAGACTATGGACAATATGATACGATAAATTCAGTAACTAATCGGTATGGTCGTCGAATGGATTTACCTAGTCCATCATTTTATCAACCACATGAAGCTATTAATAATGAAATGTTTCGCTTTCCACCATCCATCGCTGAAGATGTTGAATATACGGATGATGCTGATAATGACCAAGTAGGCTTAGCATTACACCGTCGACTTAGTGACAAAAAACGGTTAGCTACTTCAAAGGAGCATATTTTACCCACAGCTGATATTATTGTGTCATCTGTTGCACAAGAACAAACATCTCCCGATAAACAATCTTCAAATAATATTGAATCACAAAATCAAACGGAAGATATGACAACAGATCTAGCTGAATCAGCAGAAACAATTGATGACAAAAAAGAGAATAATAGTCGAGATTGTAAACTATCATCATCACCGAAATATCAACGGACTATGAGTCAAGATGAAAACTATTTTTCTGAGCACTGTTAATATTTTGGCTTAAAACTAGCCAATAATCTGTATTCGTTTTTTCCTAACGATACAGTATGTGATACTTGAATTACCTATCATATTGGCATTCTTTTTTGTTTTGTTTTCCAACTAATATTATAAAAGTAGGTTTACATGTGTTCTTGTCTGGATAGATAATTAATATCGAATCCAATAGTTTCTTTGTTATGGTTTCTCTTTCACCATCTCCTGCGTATACATATATGTTGGGCTGTCTTTTTTCAAATATTTATTCAACATAATAGCTTTCTTTTTCCTATATTCGTTTTGTATGCTCCGCTTATATCGTTAATAAAATTCTCTAATTTGAACTTGTGTTGATCATATATTAATATTGTTTATAGAGCGTTGAAAAAAGTATTACGTTAGAATATAATCGTTATGAGGTATGTTGTTAACTTGTCAGATGAACGAAGTCGATTAAGTAAGGCTTGAAAATAAGGTTTCATATGTCTAAAACCAGATTTAACAATCAATTTTGTGGCTTCTTTCAGTAGACCATGAGATTAATTATCGTTCTTCTTTCTAGTTGATTATTTCGAAAAAGTTAATGATTTCATGGGTAATATTTAATGCGGTGCGAAGCACTGCATTCATGTAGTTCGTCGCGAGTTTGCTTTTGCTGTTTCTTTCTCGACGTACGCATCTTTTTCATCATTTTGTGACCCGATGATCTCGAGTGCCGAAAATCATAGAAAACTCATTGAAACGGGAAATGCAAGTATCGAGATCGAATTTCTGACCTATTTTTTCTATTCTTTAATCTGATATTCTGTTCACTCACAAATGTGGTTTCACAATGACGAAAATGAAAGAAATTTGTCTCGAGATAATTAAATTGACGTAATCAACATATGTTAGCCACTATAATCTATTCATTTACAGCTGATCTAAGATAACGAATCATGGAGATAATTAATCGATCAATCGAAATCGATCTTTAACTGGGATCGCAGCGGCTCTCTCAAAAAATATAGGAATTCCTATATAGGATAGGTCTAAAATATATAGGATCGCCCTCAACTATATAGGAAAAATATAGGATGACAAATTTATTCCAGAAAAAGATTTAGACACCGAAAAATCACTGTAACAGCATTGAAGATGATAATGTGTCGTTTTTGCACGTATATCTAATCAGCTAAATAAAAATATTATTAAGTTTTGAAAAGTAATGGAGCAGCAAGATTTTCTTA